ATTTTTTTGTATTTTGTGTTACCTGCCTCATCTCTCTGTTTGTCTGTCTGTCTCTGTCTCTGTCTCTGTCTCTCTCGTGTGTTTGTGTGTATGTGTGTGTATGTGTGTGTATGTGTGTATGCCAATGTGACCCAGTTGGTAGAGAGTCTGATAAATAATGCACGGGTTCCAGACATATCAAAGCCACCCTCATCCGGTTTGTATGCATTTCACTGGGAAAGCGCTTATCTATCATTGTCAAAGATAAGATAATATCGTAGTCCATGCTACACAAGTGTTTATTGTTCTCTCTCTCTCTCTCTCTCTCTCTCTCTCTCTCTCTCTCTCTCTCTCTCTCTCTCTCTCTCTCTCTACAACCCACCGTCTCGTAATGTTACTGTGTTGCAAGGCCGTAGGTGGGGTAGGGGCTCCGGAACAACTTATGCGCAATTAGCATGGTCATGATACTTTACAGATATGCATTAACACTTAGCAATGCACTACACCGCAATATTGGCATTACCAGTATTTCATCTGACATTTTTCACTTTTCATTGATATCGACCAGTCCAGTCTTAATACTATTGTTTATGAATTATTGTCTTGTTTGGTTTAATTTTTGTTACAAGACCTACTACATTATATATGTAACGAGAGAGAGAGAGAGAGAGAGAGAGAGAGAGAGAGAGAGAGAGAGAGAGAGAGAGAGAGAGAGAGAGAGAGAGAGAGAGAGAGAGAGAGAGAGAGACAGAGAGAGAGAGACAGAGAGAGAGAGAGAGAGAGAGAATAGAACTCATGAAAATATTTATCAGAACACAAACATAATAACAAGATAAATATATATACAGTCTATTTTAACATCAAGACAAACTAATCATAGACAGTGACGTTACTAATTACATTCAATAATTATTTCTTAACCTATATAGTACTTTACAAATATACACCTCCACTAAATGACATACAAATATTGACATTTATCTCACAAGAATTACATTTGTGAAATTTATATCATTGTCACACTTGATCGTTTTATCAACTCATGAACAGACTTTATCTACAAGTAACTCGTACAGATATATTTATACCCGAAGTTTGGTTTTTCTAACTGATTTTGATTTGCCATTCAAAACACCTGGTACTGTTGCAGAGAAAAATGAAGCCTTCACACTAGAGTTCGATTTGGAAGGCACTGTTATTTGCCCAAGATAAATGCTATTTACGGACGATCCATATTATTGTATTGTTGGATTTGTGTTTAACCCAATCTTGACGCCTCTCTGTTGACAGAAGAAATTCTCTATCAGGTCAGAATTGAAAAATCCTGGACTGATGGCCCTGCCTCTTCCGACATGGTGGTGGTATAGTGATATAAAACCAATCGGTGAAGAGTTCAAGTCATCTCTTGTTTCTTTGCTCATAAGATGTTTACCCGGCACAAGTAAGGTTGACTCAGAAACCGTTTTCTCCCAGTTGTTGAAAACGTTTAGAACCTCATCAAGCATGCCCAGGCAAAGATCACTAATGTCGGTAATTGATCGATTCTTGTCACAAAAAATTCAGTGATCTTGCTTGTTTGTTGAAGATGTACAGTTGTACAGAGCCGCGTACACTGTCTGGATTACTCAGTGAAGCCTGATAAGATCGCATAAAAAATTTCCTTTCCGAGAACGTCAATTGCCAAAGAGTTTCCCATCTTGGTGAGGGGCGTCAATTCAATATATACTTTCGACAGTTTCCTGTGCAATCTGAAACCTCCCTGAAGATCAAATTTGAATGCCTCTGTCAAATGGTCCCAAATTATGATCGAGCCGTCTCCCATATACAGAAATCGTCCCGATGCATTTTCATTTGCTGCTTTGCTCGACTCCATGTTCTTACTTATTTTCTTTAAAACGCGCATCAAGTCTTGAATAACGCAAATCATGTGACTAGCATCATAAAGATTCTTCGTCATATACCCTTCTTCTCAGGGGTTGCCTGTAAACAACATAGAATAAAATGAGCGATTGGTAGAAGCTCCATCCATCGTTATATAAACGATAATGAAACCTCTGTCGTCAAGCTTGTCAACTCCTTCCCACACGTTTAGAAAACTCTCGTGATCCGTGGCTGTCTCTGATGCAAAATCCTGAGAAAACCGTGAAATATTATTCGGAAAACATGTGCTGCAAGCTTGACTTTTTCTGACCATTCATTATCACGTCAATTATGTTGTTTACTTCCCCCCATGTCCACAGCGCCTACCAACTTCCATGCATCCCCTTCCTTTGATATTTGTAAGTCGTCCTGAATTATCATTTCATCGAACAAAATTTCTCCATGTTTTCCAAATTCTTTTATATTCTGTTTATCTGCCTCTCTAACCATCCAAGTCAAATTTTCGTCAACATATCCGGGTTGTTGTTTAACTGAATTTTTGTAGTACTGTAAAAAAACGTTTGGATGGCAGTGTCAGATATCAGGATGACTCAAGGTCCTGATATGCACTGGGTGACCGGCAATATAGATTCAAGGAAAGACTTATGATATCCCTATTCCACCTCTTATGAATTGGATCCTTCTCTTTCTTGTTATTTCTAAGTTAAGATTCCAACAAAATGTCACATCTCTCTGGTGCACCATTAAATGTTATAACCTTAATCAGTTTATCTGCTTCGGTGTCAACATTTGCAGTTAGCATTGCGTCTGGAGGTTGGGCCACCATCCCATCTGGTTCTAACTTCAGGCTTAGTGTTTCTACGGGAGTTATCATATTTTCTTCACTTGCTTCCATATCATTCAGTCATTATCATCATCCTCTGCTTTCCTTTTTTTATTGCAACAAAGAATGCTTCTACACGCCGAGCAAAATTCTTCTTTGGATGTCCATGGTAAGATGATCTTGCACACTGTAGATCGTACACGTTGGTCAGTCTGATTCTGATTTTCGTTGCAAAACCTGGACCAATCTTCGATGCCAGCATTTTTTGACGCCGGGAAGTTATCGTCATATCTCCTTCCCTTGCAGAGTTTTACATTTTCGCATTAGTACACTAATCCGTCTACGTAGCTCTGTGTTAGGTCTATTTGTTGATGGAGTTGTAGTAAAGCCTCTCTAATCATCAAGCACGTTGTTTTTTCCATACGTCATAGTACAATTGCCAATTTTACCATTTACAACATTGGGTGTTGGGCACGTAATCATCAATTGCCCCAAGCTGTCTTTGCCTGCTTCACTTTCATTGGGAATAAACACTGTCTTTGCCTGCTTCACATTCATTGGGAATAAACACTGAGGTATCGTCGGTTGAAATTGTACATCTCTCCATAAGACCAGCATAACAAGTGTATTCATTATAATTATTATAAACGACTGTACATTTTGATTCGGGAAATAATGATACGATCATTCTTGATACAATTTTCTTCGAAGGGGTTAACTGAGGAGGGGCAACAAAAATCCACTGCCTTTGTGCAAATGTCTCCAAATCTTATCATTCCTCCATCTTTGGCTTGATACTTGGTTGTCAACCTGCAAATCGTTAGTGAGTCTTTAAAATTTGAGAGAGAGAGAGAGAGAGAGAGAGAGAGAGAGAGAGAGAGAGAGAGAGAGAGAGAGAGAGAGAGAGAGAGAGAGAGAGAGAGAGAGAGAGAGAGAGAGAGAGAGAGAGAGAGAGAGACTATGAAAACGTGTTTATAATCCATACATAATGAACACATATGTATATGTCGGTGACAAATATTGTGACCTTTGAACCAAACGTAAACATCATGCTTTCTTTGCATGGCGTTTATGAATCTTGTTTCCACGTATAAATATTATATCATTCCATCATTAAAATGTACATATACAGTAAAAATATTATTTCGTTATTTAACTTAACATGATCTTATAATCGTTGACTCCAAAATGAATCATAGCCATATAATAATGTTTTCGTGGTTCATAAATTCAAAATTGTCCTGTTTAAGAGGGTTAATGCTATCATGAAGGAATATTAAGTTTGTAAGCGATTAAATGACCATGTTAGTGATCATTTAGACTTCTACATTTATAGAAATAAATATGGGATGTCAAAAGACATACTTTGGTTCTTCTAATTATAATTATATGAATTTTGTTACAACGCAGACATTTTTTTTATATCATTTCAAAGTCACAGTGGCATTTCTTGATGACGCAGAAAAAAGAAAGGGACATTATACAATGTATCACTGTTATTCATTTCTGGAGACATGTGTTATCTTTTGAATGAAATAAAAAAAAAATCAACCCAAATAACATTTATTCATCATGTCATGTGTGTTCACTTTTTCAGGCGTATAATCAAATTATTAAATGTCAATTAGGTAGTGATAGTTACTTCCTCCACTATAATGGCCACCCTGAATTTCGCGAAATACAGTGAAACTACACTGCATCACTGGTCTGGAGTGTATGATGGTCGATATAGCAAAGAAGATATTGTTAAGATGCATCTCCAGGGCGATAATTGTGACAGCAGAGAGAATTAGAAAGACTGATGTACTGATCATAGACGAGATAGGGATGGTATCCAGAAAAAATATTTGAGAGTTTGGAGTACATATGCAGGATGATTAGGCAGCTATTGGCCATTTTTGGAGGAATTCAGGCAAGTAATACGACAAATTCAAATCACTTTTACGAATCATTCTTCACACGGTCAAGCCGGTTTGGGGAGCATGAGGACCAGGAAGCTGCGGTTGTAGTGGTGGCTATAGTAGTGGACGATCTATCTATCCCCCGCCTTAAAATGTGTGTCAGTGAGTGTGTTTGTGTATGTGATTTACATTTTTAACTTAGCTTTAACAATTTTTCAGTCATATCGCTACGATGTTTGCAGTGTGACAGTTTATAAAAATGTCTAGCACTGGGGCATTATGCCGCAAACATGTGGCATGATGTCCCACCCAGTCAAATTATCCTGACACCAGATCAACTAGTCCTAACAGTAACCTCTCAATGCTGAGCACCAAGCTAGACAGCTGTTATTACCATTTTTAAAAAGTCTTTAGTACGACTCCGCTGGGGTTCGAACCCACGACTTCAGGCATCTGAGGCAGATGCTCTAACCATTAGGCCACTGGAGCGGTTCACCTTAAAATGTACATGAAGGTAAAAGATACTTTCTTGTTATATTTAGTCATTAATAATACTTTTTCAGTATAAGCAAAACAAACATTCATAAAAACAATCAGACCTTTCTTTATCTTTTGAACAGGTCATTGCCTCTGGTGACTTTAAACAGCTGCCACCAGTTCCAAATAGCGTGCACAAAGACGCCGGGGATTTTTGCTTTGAAGCTGAGATATTTCGAAAAGTTTTCCCTGTTCACATGCGTCTAAGCAAGCTCTCTCTTTCTCTCTCTCTCTCTCTCTCTCTCTCACACACACACACACACACAGACACACACTTATGTTATTGATACCATTCTGCATGACTTTATTTCACGTTCCCACTTTTACTTTAACTTTATGTCACTATGTCACAAAGTGAAGTAGTCGGTTATGTATTCATTGTTAACTAGTTAAGTAAGGTATTGTTACATCCTGTGATCTATATGAAAGTTTCACAAAACAAGCGGAACAGTTCGCATCAGAGGAATAGTTGTATACCCTTTAAGGTTTTGGTTCATATCTCAGTGATTTTCTATCTGCGGCTTTAAATTTCACATTACGATTGATCACATCATAATGGTTCTCAATGGAGTGAACTTAAAATTTAAAATTATGTTAGTAATTTAACCGAATTGATTTGCTCCTAATAGGAGTATAATTAAATCTAAACGTTTCTAGTTATCAGGGACAAAACACTGTACGTTTATATAAATTTGATTGTGAATATCATAATGGTATCATAAAAAGTTATGTTTCTGTTGCAATGATTTTATTTAGGTTATGTAATATTGCAGGTATTGTGTCAGAAAGAGGACGATGTCGTACGAGCTGTAAATGAACTTTGTAATGATGAGCTGTCAGATGACACAGAAGCTCTTCTTAAATGCATGGGAGAACTTTTACCTGGCTAGGATATCTGGCACAAATTTTGAAGTCGATTATTACAATCCGATGACCTTTGATTCTGCAGATGGTACACAGCGTACTTACAAAGCCAAATATAAGGGTAATTTTGTTTCCTGCAATTGTTTAAATTATGACTTTTGTTGTTTTACGATCCCTTTACACCAAGAAGTAAAGACATAGTGGTAACTTTTAGGACAGTGACTGCTATGTCATTAGTGACAACTGTATGCGTATTGATGATGACCATATTTCCTGAACGAGTTTAATGAAACTCTATAGATAAAATTGATCGTGGACGCTTATAATGAATGCTACATGTTTGTAAGATGACGTATTAACATTATACCTACCCCGTGTAAAAATCTAGTACTCAAAAGAAAATGTAAAATGTAAAGTGTGGGGCATCGCTTGTATTTTATTCGTAACCCCATGATATTAGGACCATTATTATTGCCTACTAGCTCATGATCAATTTATATCTATTTATTTTCAGGACAGAAGATGTTTCTTCAGCTATCAGCAGTACCCAATATACTGGTCTTAAAAGAAGGATATCCGGTAATTTTAGTTAGAAACCTATCGAATGTTTTCCTCAATGGCACACGAGGAGTAGTGCATGTTCTTTTAGAAAACGGACACCCAGTTATTAAGTTCGTTGGGAAATTTGTTACCTTGCCATTGATCAGCTTTGAAGTATACGATTCGCAATGTAATAAGGTCATTGCAACGCGGATCCAATACCCCGTGCGACTCGCATATGCAATAACAGTTCACAGGGCACAAGGAAAATCTTTAGATAGCTTGGAGATTGATTTGCAACTCATTTTCTCATCTGGTCATATAGGAGTGTCCGTAGGAAGAGTAACATGCAAAGAAGGCCTCGGGATTCTGAATTACAATCCGAAACCAGCACGACTCAAACATCCACAATCAGTTTATGACATTGACAGCTATGATGGAGTTGAAAAGAAAGAGGACATGTCTTCCTGTCAGTCTCAGTATACACCAGAAAGTCAGTGTGATGATAATTACTGCATTGTGTCAAACAGAAGTGTCAATGCAGGTCGTGAAACAAACACTGACGGCGAAGGACAGGAATGTGCAAAGGGTACTTGTTCTGCAGATACATGTACCGAGGGCGATGGACAAGTTAGGACTGACAAAGGAAATCAGTATATTTCAGAGCGTCCTTCAGGCTCTAGGAAGACAGACTTAATGCAATATCCATTTTCGATATATGATTATATCAGCAAAATGAGGATAAGCAATGAAAAGTGTTTATCAGCTTCACCCGAAGTTGGATCACAGATGTTAATAGCACACACAGACGTATTGTATGCTAGAGTCTCAACCTGGATTTAAAAGATTTAAAAATATCCACTTCCTGGTCAAATGTCTACAAACTAGCACACGCTTTCCTTACCAGTGATGAACACCTCGACATGTGCAGGAATTTATTTGAAGTGAAAATTATTTCTAAAGAACAAAATAAGTTCTCTTCTAAGTTACTAATGTGGTTGTTGGAGATGAACATCAAGACGATAGAAAGTGATATCAAGAAGAAACAGTCAGAAAGCGACCAGGGCATGCAAGTGAATATGTCAAGTTACGGTATATCGCTGGAGCATGCATTCATAAGATCAAAGATCGGTTACTGCAGTGTCATCAGAAATATAGGACGAATTGACGATGGATCCAAGTTCTAGAGGAGAGTAGACTACCTGAAACAGCAATTATTGCAGAAACTTCGTATAGACTACGAAGAAATAACCACTGAAACTAATCTGTCACAAAGTCTATCAGAAATAGAGTACCGACAAGGCAAATCAAGAGGTATAAGTCGTGTGAGGGACGATGTTTTTATGTTCTTTGGAAAGTTGAACAATTTTATTCAATCGATGTTGACAGAAAGAAGTTTTCATCTCCATGGATCAAAGGTTTTTACTAATGCTGACTTAATTGCCTGAATTTAGAACCTTTCCCATACAGACACTATAGATTGTGTTTTGGACGATGAAATATTTAGAGGATTGTTGATCGATTTATTTGAAATGGTTTCGGTTCATTACTTGAAGATTGCCTTCGTGGATGATCTCAAGGCGCTGATAGAATCAAATCCGAGGAAGAAGAAACAGGCGCTCTGACCAAAACTGCAAGACCAAAATGAAAGCATAACATTGAAACGGAAATGGGTCATTTCAGCATCCTTCCAGTGTAATATCTGCAAAGGAGAATGTGTGGACAATCCGAAGATTTCCCAGAAAAAATAGTATTGCATATGACATCTGTAACTTGTGGTTCCATTTCGGATGTGTTGGACTGACCGGAAATGAGCGATTCATCAAACACAAAAATTCTGTATGGAAGTGCCAAACATGTTTGATGAACACTTTGAAAGGCAAAGAAATGGTCAAGGAAAAAGGCAGACGAAGGAAGTCGAAAATTTAAAACAAAAGTAATGAACCTCAACCATCAAGAGAAACAAAAACACATATGTGGGAAATAACAAGAATTCGTGTGATGATTTGTAAAAGCAAAATATTGAAATCGTGTCATTAATTATTGAGAAATCGCAACATTATTTTTCTGACATATTGGACTCAGTTATACTCATAATAAATGTGCAGTGTAAGAAGTTTGTCAAAACCATTAAACTTGAACATTATTTTATGGAGAGAAAACTATTGAAATCGGCTCATCTACTCTGAGTGTGTGTGTGTGTGTGTGTGTGCGCGCGCGTGTATATGATATACTATGATCCGAATACGTCCATTTCTTTTCTTTAAAACATTTTACTTCATCGGATTTTTCCCAAAGTGCGCGTAATTTGAGTACAGTATGTGGTGTTCCGTAGTCTTCTTCCGTCTGGGTGTCCTCTACCATGGCAGTTAGGAGTAGAAATTTTAAAGCCAAAATATTATTCTTGATTCAAAAAGTCAAACTAAGAAATTTTGAGATATCACTACAATGCTACATTGATCTGACGTCATCGCCAGCCATCTTGGAACTTCGTCGGGATTCGAATTTTGATTCATTTAGGACATTTAGTGATAAGGCTTATCATCTTTTTATTCGAGGATGAATTTTTGGACTGTAATCACAAACTGTAAGTCATTTTTTTTACTTTTTATTGTGTTTTCAAGGATAATAATTTATCCCTTTTAAAATTTACAAAACTTGCTGCATTCACTCTTTTCTTTTGTTTTTTTTAAACAAGACTAAACATAACAGTATGTATATTCTATATCAATAAGTATACAATTATGTATCAATAGAGAAATAATTATTTTAATCAAATGCTATGTTATGATAACGAAGAACAGAAAAAGTAAGGACAAAATGAATTTTAATTGAAAATGTTTGATATAATTATATCATTGTTTTGTTAAAACAACCGACAGAACATACATACATACATACATACATACATACATACATACATACATACATACATACATACATACATACATACATACATACATACATACATACATACATACATACATACATACATACATACATACATACATACATACATACATACATACATACATTCATACATGCATACATACATACATTCATAGATACATACATACATACATACATACATACATACATACATACATACATACATACATACATACATACATACATACATACATACATACATACATACATACATACATACATACATACATACATACATTCATACATGCATACATACATACATTCATAGATACATACATACATACATACATACATACATACATACATACATACATACATACATACATACATACATACATACATACATACATACATACATACATACATACATACATACATACATACATACATACATACATACATACATACATACAGACAGACAGACAGACATACATACATACATACATACATACATACATACATACATACATACATACATACATACATACATACATACATACATACATACATACATACATACATACATACATAAAGACAAACACAAAAAATTATTTCAGAAAGTAGGGATGTTATTTTTTGTAATGTATTTGGAGTTGCTCA